CGGGCGTGTGCGCCCCTCGCTTCCGAACAGGGGGGCGCAGGGCTCTCCAGGGTGCGGGAGGCGGCGGTCTGGAGACAAACAAACATTCCCGTCAGGGGCAGCACAGGGAATAACCTGGTTCGCGTTGGTCTGAATTCTGTAATATTAGAGCGTGGTCTGGAAGGAAAGCGTAATTAAAGTAGGCCAAAAGGCGTTGCGACTGTCTGAGGAAGGAAGAGCTGTAATACCTAATGTTTTTCTTTTTGGAAGTATTTTGTTTTTCTTATGCAAAGTAGGGCTTCAGTCAAGTGTTTGCTGCTGTTCTGCAGGGAAACCATTGTGCTGGAAAAGGCCTGCCAAAGCAGTTGTCAAGTTATAAGGGGCTGAGTAAAGAGAAGACAACAAGTAGTTTTGAAATACGAGTCTTGAAATATAACAAAAGTCCCAAGAACTCTTCCTAGGATTCCTTTTACTGAAAGTTTTTGTTTCTGTCCACAGCCCTGAAATTGCATGCTATTGATAAAAGTTGGCAGTGAAACTAAGTTGGCAGTCCTTGACACAGCAGAAATAGGCTGTGATAGAGTAAGAATTTGTTTATGTTAAGCATGGCATTCCTACAGATTTGATGAAATTCATTTATGTAGAAGAATAAAGTCTGGTTTTTGCTTATAAAATTGGTAATAAGCAATAATTTTATCAGCTGTAAACAAAGTAGCAGGAAAGGAAACACTGATGTCCCAGTTAGTCACAGAATGACTGTACGTTCCCATTGATGTGGCGTGTATGAGTCTGGCTTTTATTACAGGAGACATTTCCAGTAGAGACAGAAAAGTATTGGCTTGTAGTAGATGCTTTTGTGATCTCAGGAATAATCTATGCTGTTGAGGTTATTCATGCTCAGGAGGGATGCGTGCAGACTACAAGATGTGCAGAGAGATGGGATGGTGTTTCCCTGGCTTGTTTTACTGTGGCCACTGTATTCTGTGGCTGATGGTCTTTATTCTCCTTTTTCTCTCCTTGCTCTTCCAGCATATGTGAAGGCATACAAAGTGGAGGCTGCAAAAGAAAGGAAGGAAGGGAAGCAGTTAGGGACCCCAGTTGTTGTTCCCTTTTCCTCTCAAATCTGCAAAAGCTGAATGTGGTATTAGCCTCTTGACAGGAGTACCCATAACACTGTAGGCAAATAGCAGATCAAGATAATTTGGTGTGGAGGGATGTCATACTGTGTCAGGCCGTGCAGTCCATTCTGGAGGTTTTGGCCTTGCATTTGGATGTGTTTGTATGCATGTCTGTGGAGGAGTGACGGGATGGTGCCTAGGATCTTGTGCTCTCTGGTCCTGCTAAGTCTAGTCCTGTCTTTGCAGCCAAGAGGGGCTTTGTGCACCCCCCTGCAACAGGAAGAGCTGCCTTTCTAGAAGAGTTTCATTGTTTCACAGAGCTGTTAACATAAAGGGTTTTGATGGTCCAGGAGGAACTGAGTGTGAAATGATGGTGGTACATGGACTGCAGAGCTGAGAAGTGCCCTTCATTTGTTAGAGTAGTAGGGTTCAAGAATGGCCTTGGCCATGCTTGGCGCTGAAGTGTTAGTGGGAGCCAAACACCAAACTCCTGAATGGGCATCATTTAGGGCCTCAGAGGGATTCTGCAGTGTAATAACTTCTATTGCAAGAAATCAGATGGGTTCCAGAAGGCCCTTCCAGCCCCAAGGATCACCATAAGCAACTCTGAGTTCTTGGGATTCTGGATTTTCAACTTGGAAAGGAACATACAGTTATATAAGAGAAACTCGAAGTCAGGATGGGTAGATTATGCAGAGTTTTGTCTTACATCATCCCTTTCTCACCACTGCTTTCTCAATCTTTCTGAAGGGACCCTTTTGCCATCCACCGGCAGCACATGAACCGCATGCTCTCTGGAAGTTTTGGGTTTGGCCCACTTCTTGGCATCACTGATGGGACCTCTCCTGGAGCTCGCCAGGCTGGGCGTAGGATGCAGGTAAAAGATGGGTTCAGAACAGGACAGGATTTCTTCAGCTGCCTTAGTAGCTTCTGTCTCCCACCACTGTCGGGCTGGGCGTGCCCCTTGCCTTCACGTGGGTGGCGAGTGCAGAATTCATCTCTAAAACAGTGGTGGTGTTCTCCTTGAGTTCACTTGCAGTAATACACTGAATGCAGCTGCAGTCTAGGTTGAATGGGAGGAAAGGAGTAAACGTGTTCTTTCGTAAAGACATAAGTTGCTGTAACTGGGAGAAGTTTAGGAACATTGCCTTCTGCCTGTTTTGTGATACGATTCAATGCACTGTGAGTCTGTGGGGGACTTTCTTTATCTGGTGGTTGGGCCTGAGTGTTCCCAGTTCTGTTTCTGAGGACGATAATGTTTTGAGGAGGATTTAGTGTTTGGCTGTTGCAAGGTCATTCTCTGTTCTGTTTTTCTGTCGTCCTGGCAGGCAGGAGCTGTTTCACCCTTTGGGATGCTCGGCATGGTAAGTTCTTCATTTTTCTGGGTCAAACTGGAGACTTTCCAAGTAGTGGCTCTATACTGAGAATCATCAGTGCTGTGGGCAACTGGTGCTAAAACGTAGCCATCTGTGAGCAAGACCATCTATCTATCCTGAGGGGTAGTGAGGGTGGGAAGGTGTGAAGAGACCAGAATAAGCTCCAGATTTATAGTAAAGGGAATATGGGAAAGGGTATTGAACTGAAACTGGAGGCAGCTGGTTTTTCTTGGACCTCTCTTCAGCCCTTTCCCTTGTTTCCCTTCTAATGTTTTAATCTAGCCTGTGAGCTGTTTTAGAAGAGATTTTAACTCTGTATATATGGGGAGTTTTTATTTGTACCTTGACCAAAGAAGAGTCCTAAAGCTGTTACAGCAAAATATTTCATAGGAATTGGGACAGTTAATATCTTGGAAGAGCAGTTAGTCTATTAATAACCGTATATCTAAAAAATTGCTGGAGATCTGTTTGGAAGTAGTGGAGGAACTGTGATGATGGAAGGCAGAGACTTGGCCATCAATAGGCAGAGGTGATTATTGAACCTCCTTAGCCAGTGGTGGCGGATAGAAAAGCCAGCAGAATACTTCAGGGGAACAGGACTGGAATGAGAATGGCTTTGTGTGTGTGAGAGGGCCGTGGAGGGTATTTTCTTTTGTATTTCTTTGTCTGTTGGAGAGTCCTGATCTCTGTCATCTACTAAATAATACAGTGGAAATTGTTTATTCCAGACCCAGCAACTTTAGCTGCCTTGCTCTGCAGGATTGCCTCGGTTAAAGAGACCAAGTGTCCTGGAATTGTTGTAGCTCAGAGAGGGATTAGTAAAAATACAAACAGATAGACCTCAAATGGTAATATTGCGTGTGAGTCCTGCTCTGCTGGAAACAAGAACAAGAAGCTACTCAAAGAAAGGAAAAAAAAAATCAGCAAGTTTAAACTGACATAGTAATTTTGTTTACATATTGCACAATTACCCTCTGAGACCTGCTGGCTCAGTATATTACTGCAGCCTTTAAGTTTACAAGATTTAAAAGTCAGCTTTCTGTAGGGAAAAAAAAAAATAAGAAAACTTGTTATTATGTTAGAATACAATCAATGGAAACGTCCTTGTGGTTTAAATTAAGCGTTGACAGTGATGAGGTGAAAACTTCATTGAGGGTGACTGTCTCATGGTTCAGATCACCATTAGTGCACGTCCTGAGATTTCTTTGCTTAGCTTTGCTGAGTGCCTGGACTCACAAAGCCCAGTGCATCAGGAGTCAGACCCAAACTGAAAGAACAATCTTTTTTGTATTCAGAGATCTGGAGAGCCAGAACACATGGGCAGCGCAACCTGAAAGAATGAAGACAACAGCAACCTCAAATCCTGTTTGTTTTTTTTTTTTTTTGCACTACTGAAAGAAAGGGAAAAGAAGAGAGTTTTTCTTCTTAGGGAGCAGGTTTTTGTCCTTTGGAGATAGTTTCTTGTTCTCTCCTCTTGTATCTTTCCAAACTGACTATGTTTGTGTTCCCTTTTCTTTTTTATCAGGCAGGTGGCTTTATAGATATGTTTGGGATGATGAACGACATGATTGGAAACATGGTAAGAACCCTCCATAAACCACTCTGTATTGAGGCAAGTACTGAGGGTGTTTCTGGCATCCCCTCTAATGTGTCCCATCTTATTGTGCTTCTTTGGTACAGGCTCAAGCTGCCAAGGTGGCACAGTCTTAAGCCTTGCTTAGTGACCAGGATTCAGTGATAGAGAGCTTGTTCCTGAGGTTTACACTCTTGAGTGCAGGGGAGAGAGATGAGTGAGGTTGGAAGTGTGGGGGTAGGCTTTTTTACCAAGAAACAAGAATTAATTTACAGGAAGATGTGTTCTCTAGAAAGATGGATGCATGGGGATTATATTCTTCCTGTTGTCATTTCTTCCTACTTTGTTGTATAGAGAGAGAATTAACTACCATCTCTTCTTCCCTCCCATTCCTTCTTTACACCGTTCCCATCTCTTCATGCAGGAGCATATGACAAGTGGTGGTAACTGCCAGACATTTACCTCCTCAACTGTCATCTCCTATTCCAACATGGGTGATGGGCCCAAAGTCTATCAGGAGACCTCAGAGATGCGTTCAGCACCTGGCGGGGTAAGGAGCAAGCTGTGGAGCATCCTCCCAGCATGGGGCTGCTGGTTTTGCTGTGGGTGGATAGGCTTCATTTGGTGTCTCAGTGCTGGCCACCCACAGCACTTCTGCTTTGCAGTCAGTTGGAGGTGGCGGAGTGCGTTGTGACTCACTGAACCATGCTGAGGGTCACCGGGAGGGGATGGGAAGCGCCGGTAGGGGGGAATCCATCTTTTCATTACGTTGCGTCTGACGTCCTGGGAGCGGTGGCAACGCGGCGTGACCGCCATGCTGCCCGCGGGCAAGGACCAGAGTGCCTTGCTGGGCTGGGAGAATGAATTAAAATGTTGATCCTACCTGGGAATCTGCCCTCAGATCCGTGAGACCAGGCGGACGGTGAGGGACTCGGACAGCGGCTTGGAACAGATGTCGATCGGCCACCACATCAGGGAGCGGGCCCACATCATGCAGCGCTCCCGCAACCACCGCACGGGCGACCAGGAGGAGCGGCAGGACTACATCAACATGGATGAAAGTGAGTGCGGCCCGTCTCCTCCTCCCGGCGCTCCCGGCGCCGCTCCCGCG